GGTGTATTTAGAGACGTAATCAAAATCAAGTTTTGTTTTTCCGCAAGACTACCTCAGCAGGGGTTGCTCTGTACTTCCTATTACATCACTGCCAGATTCTCTCTTTTTGAGATTTTAGGATTACTTGGTGGATTCAGGTGTTGTCAACTTGATCTAACTGTTATAAAGTTCTCCATCACGCTTCACCGAACAGTTTTAGCAACCACTGATCATCATTGAACTAAATCCATCATTTCGCTGAGCTTCAAAATGATGCTTTTCTAAATCTGTTATTGTGCCCGTGTTTATGAGCTGGAATTATTTTTAAAGAACTTTCTCTCATTGACTATTTGGTTTCACTGAAATATTGTTTATTTAGAAAAGGCAGGATAAAATGCTTGAATCTTGTCTTTATCCATTTTTCAGATTAGGTCCCTTAATTTTCTCCAAAGGTGACCAAAATGGTTTTATTTTCCTTTGAGTAGCATTATGAACCCATGGATCTCAACTTGCAACATATTTACAATGTTTCAGTGCATTTTCATCATTATTCTTTTGATGATCTATTGCCACACCTTCGCCAGTGGGAGCCCCTTCAGGCTGAATTGAGACTTTGTGACCTGACCCTAATATTCTCTAAGGATGTTCAAAGCTCATCTTGTGTGTGTTTCCCACCCCAGATCTGGAACCAGCCATGTCTTATTAATGAGCACCGCTTCTTTTCATTAAAAAATGGTGTTCGTTTGCATTGGAAGCAGTGGGGCGTTACAATAATGCTGCTGTTTTCCTCTTGATGGAGTTAGTATGTTTCTATTATTTTTCCATCATCCTCTTCTTTATTTCTCTTTAGCTTGTAGTATTGATTCGCTTGTAGAGAAGTGCAGGGTACAGCTCTCCTGATCTGTGTGCAATGCGGGCAAGGTCCTGGGACTTCTGCTTTAATTCCCCAAAAACCTACAGGACAGAGCCCCGAGTCAGAACCAAGGCTGGTGTGATGGGAGGCTGGCATGGTATAAATCTCAAGCTCACACAGGACCTCGAAAGAACATCTAGTCACCAGTCTGCTTCCAGGCTAGATCTCAAGTCAGAAAAAGCATTGCCTGATTTAGTAATTTTTAAAATCTCCAGTTAGAAAGTCCATATTTAAGCTATTTAGCAATATGCTACATTCAATAATAAAGCTAGTCAGAAGTCATTTAGAGAAACCTCAAGTAAGTGAAACTTAGAAGTACGAGAATTGATTTTAGGACCCGAGCTGCTTTTTTATGTGAAACCATAATTTAACAACAGAAACACAGATGAATTACAAGAGCTTTTGGCACCCTGACAAGCGCTTTCTTTTTGACCTATTAGTTGTGCTAGGACTGGAAGAAAAGTGAGATATTCAAACTCAAATTTCAGCCTAAGGGGCTTGAGCTAGTTGGATATAACTAGTCACCTGGAATTGGTTTTGTTCTTTTTTTGATGCTGGTACATTAAACAAAAAATTTTGGAGATGTTCTTCAATACTGCAAAAGCTTTCAGACTATCAAACCTATAGTGGCAAGAAAAGGTGACACCTTAGGCAATAATATTTTATCCACTGATTATGCATTCTTCCTGGAGTCTAGCCTATAAAAATTTCATGTTTTAGTGGGTATTAGTGGGTATTTGCCCTAAACACTATACTACCCAAGAGGCCTAGCCAGGGAAGAAATTTTTGAAAACCAATAATTATTGCCAAAATATTAAGTATAGAGTAAAACCTAATGAGAGTTTTATTTTCAGATCAAGTGATAGTATCTAAGAAGCTCGGTTATGAGAATTCACTGGCTTTCAAATTGTATTACTTCTCTAGGTAGTATCTTGATTCCTGTGTGTGTGTGCATGCGTGTGCGCGTGTGTGCATGTGCAGGCATGTACTATTTTTTTCCCTCCGCGCGTGACAAAAGTCCTTAATCTGTCCAGGTTCCGCAAACTGCAGAGAATTGTGTTATTTTAAGGTTCCTCTGAGTCAGCATTTTTAAGGACTTTAAGGACATGTATCTTTGTGGTATTAGAATGCTAGAACCCATTCATTCTTTTCTTTTAGCTCCTACACAAGTATTCATTATGACCTTGAGGGTAGCCTCACATCCCACAGAGACTATCGGTACCAGTGCCAGGCCACCGTGTGACTGGGTCAAGGTTCACACAGAGTAAGTTAGATGCATCACAGAGGGAAGAAAGTGATACTTCTGGAAAAGGCTGTGAATTTGAAATTTGATATACAGCTCTGAATGCTGGCACTCTATACTTTGCAACCTGTTCATGTCCCTTATCATACTAAAAAACTAAATATTGCTAAATAGGCGGGAAGAGCAGCCTAGATTCCATTTTAATTTTAAATAATCAAGAGTGAGCAAATAGTTGAGTCTAGAAGCAAGCTACATTGAAGTGAGAGGGGAAAGATAATAATTTTTTCCATTGATGAATTTTCATAGTTTACAAAGCGAATGTGTGTTCAGTTTCACACAGGGTGCTCCTGGCTGCCAGATTTGTAGGCCAGACAGGTATTGGAATCTCATTTTAATGATTCTGAGACTGGGTTCGGAAGGGTTAAGTGACTCCTGGCAGTGTCAATATTAGAATGTAAATCTGTGATTAAAAGCTAATTTAAGGACCACCTAGCACATACAGGGTGCTGGTAATTCAAAGATTATTAGGAACGGTTTCTTACCCTCGAGGGACAATCTAGACATATCTGTGTACTCACGGACTCCTCACCAGAGACATTTGTCCTTTCCCTGTGATAGGTCTCCTGCCAGGCCACCCCTTCACCCTCAGGGTGAAGTAAGTCATGACCTTACTGAGGTGGTCTGACCCCAACTTTTCACTGCCAGGCCCTGTTCTGTTATTGTCTCTCAGCCGGTACTAATCTAGCTTTGCTCTTCATTTTGGAAATAGATGTCAATGTATTATATTTTATTTTCTGGTTCTAGAACTTGCAATGATTGGTTTCTTTGCTAATATTTTCTATTTTTCATCCATTTCAATGAAATATTTTCCTTTACTTCATTGAGCATTGTCATAATACATCCTTTACGAATCCTTCTCTGCTAATTTCAACATCTGGGTCATCTTGGGATTGGTTTGCATTGATTATATTTTTTCCTTGAGACTGGGTCACACTTTCTGATTCTTTTTATATCAAATGATTTTAGATTGTATGCTGGACATTGTCATACTGTAAAGACTCTGGATTTTGTTTTATTCCTCCACAGAATTTTGGCGTTTTTGTTTTAGCAGGCAGTTCATTTGGTCGGACTCAAACTGCAAACTCTCTCTCATGAGCAAAAAGCTCAATAGCACTTGCTCTTTTATCTTTAGCAGAGCTGCTTTGCATCTTCCCTAGACATGCATGGTTCAAGAGTCGCCCTAAGCCTGGGACAGAATTTACATTGGAATTTAGGGCTGGCCCTCTCTGAGATTCTGTCTTCAGTTTCCATTGTCTGTAGCTGCCCTGAACTCTGTCCTCTGGTTCTTCGGGCCAGAAAGATTGCGGGCTTTCTGTCTGAGTCTTAGCCATCTTTATGGTACTGAATTTGACCTTCTCTCAAGCTAAAAGCCACTGCAAACAAGAAACGCACCAGATATCATCCTTTCTTTCAATATTCATTCCACCCCCCTCCCCAGCATTACCCTATGAACCTAAATGCTTTCAGGTCAGCGATTTGAGGCAGGAAGGGAATTGTAATTGTACTCCAGGGTTTGTCATCTTATTCTAGGGATGGTTGGGTCTGGTAGGACTTTACAGAGCCCTGGCAGAAGCAGAACTATCTTTTATTGCATTATGCCTCTCTGTGTAGGTTTTAAAAGGAAGGGTCTACTGCTGAAAAATAAACCCCAAATTTGGAAAATCCACTGTATTTATCCCACTTCCAGTTTTACTTCTGCATGACCTGCATGTCCAGCCTTTGTTGTGAACACTCCCAGTGACAGATACCTTGCCCTTTTTCCTCTGTGGTTTCTCTCCCCACTCCTCAGCTTCCCAGTTTCAACAAAGGCTTTTTGTTTTACTTGCCTTAATGGCAGTATTTTAGCAAAGCTCCTTGGAAAGAAAAGCTGGTTGAAGTCCAGTGGCTAAGTGTTGCATTTATTTGATGAACATTTCAAATGGATGTTTTGGAAGAAGGTGATAAAAGGAAGTATGCACCTGAGCCTTTATTTTGATTCCTGAGTGATACTCAGAAGAGCCTGGTTGGTCTGGCATCTGCCTTGATGCATGTAGCATTCTGGAACTGGGCCAAGGAAGGCCATCAGCCTAGAATATCTGCTACTCCACTGACCTGCTGAGGAAGGAGACAGAAAGATGACTGAGGTGGTAGGTCCCTTGTGGTTATATTATAAGATAACCCAAGGGACTGTGGTTTGGACCCAAATATGACGAGAGATTTGGGACATTGTATTTTGTAGACAAACTAAAGATAGTAGAGCAAAACTGTTGTATGTGGATAATGGTCATGGCATTTGGAGCCCTCCCTACTCTGAATTTGCCTGTCACGCTATAACCTTTAAGAAATCTCCTCAACTTTCCATGGATTTTCATTGGGAGGGATGGGTTTCAAGAAGTGCTACAAACTACATGGAGAAGATGTACATGTGAAGGCATATGGAAGTAAGAGAAGTCATATAGCCTGGGAGCGATTTGTTTATATAGATGGTGGCTCGTGTAGAAAGTGTAATATAGGAATCACTACTTTTTCCCTTCATGTCAGGGACTGAGCCACTCCTGAGGTCTGCGGGCCAGATCTCTGAAAGTGTATCATTCACCTCTATCCCTCTGAGGAGCAGAGTTTTAAAAGTGTTTGCTTGTGCCACAATATAATAGTGTACAGTATTTTGGGTTAGTTAATTCTCTGATAAAGTCTGTAATCCATTTGTGCTTCACCTGCTCTTTACTCGCCACTCTCCTAGCTAGAAAACAGAAAGCAAAAGTGAAATGTACTCTCTCTTTGTCTCTTTTGCCATTTTAATTCATTCTCTTCTCTTATTTCTAAAAGAATTTTCAGAGTCAAAAGCAGCAAATGCTTCTGCGGCTCCCCGGTCATTTTTTCTCAGGAATCCCAGTGATAGATTTGAAGCGCTCCCACTGGAAGACTATGAAGAGAAAAATCAAAGTGGATTCATTGAAGACAGATTAAGCTCCATCAATCAAAGTGGTCTTCTTCAAAAACCACCCCCTGCATTCATCTCAAAAGACGCCTCAGGATATCTGACCAGCGCCTGGTTGACTCTCTTTATCCCTTCCATCTACACGGGCGTGTTTGTAGTAAGCCTTCCTCTAAACATCATGGCCATCGTTGTATTCATCTTGAAAATGAAGATCAAGAAGCCTGCTGTGGTGTACATGTTACACTTGGCCACGGCGGATGTGCTCTTCGTGTCTGTGCTCCCGTTTAAGATCAGCTACTACTTTTCTGGAAGCGATTGGAAATTTGGGTCTGAAATGTGTCGCTTCGTCACTGCGGCGTTTTACTGCAACATGTATGCCTCCATCATGCTCATGACAGTCATCAGCATCGACCGGTTTCTGGCTGTGGTGTACCCCATCCAGTCCCTCTCCTGGCGTACTCTGGGGAGGGCGTCCATCATCTGTGTGGCCATCTGGGCTATGGCCATCTCAGGGGTGGTGCCTCTTCTCCTCAAGGAGCAAACTACCCAGGTGCCGGGGCTCAACATAACCACCTGCCATGACGTGCTCAATGAAACCCTGCTCGAAGGCTATTATGCGTATTACTTCTCAGCCTTTTCTGCTGTCTTCTTTTTTGTGCCGTTGATCATATCCACAGTCTGTTATGTGTCCATCATTCAGTGTCTTAGCTCTTCCGCAGTTGCCAACCGGAGCAAGAAATCCCGGGCTTTGTTCTTGTCAGCTGCTGTTTTCTGCATTTTCATTATTTGTTTTGGACCCACAAATGTCCTCCTGATTCTGCATTACGCATTCCTTTCTCATAATCCTTCAACAGAGGCTGCCTACTTTGCCTACCTCCTCTGTGTCTGCGTCAGCAGCATAAGTTGTTGCATTGATCCCTTGATTTACTATTATGCTTCCTCTGAGTGCCAAAGGTACCTGTATAGTATCCTATGCTGCAAAGAAAGTTCTGATCCCAGTAGTTATAACAGCAGTGGTCAGCTGATGGCAAGTAAAATGGATACCTGCTCTAGTAACCTGAATAACAGCATATACAAAAAGCTATTAACTTAAGAAAAGGGACTGCTGGCGGGTTAAAAGAGCAAATAATCTGAGGATTTTATTAGTCCCTGCCAAAAAAATATTTACTTTACCATCTAAAACCACAAATGTATGATTTGTATGTCTCTTAAGAGAGCTGTTAAGCATATGTATTTGTTATTTACAGAAAAAGATAACATGAATTTAAGACAGTTATTCCAAATCAGTATTTCCAATACTACAATAATAACTGAATGCTACTTTTTTTATATATTTAGGTGACTTGCTATACATATGTGTGTGTGTATGTATATATATGTGTATGTATACACACACTTGTATCAGTTGCAGTGCAGTAGAGAATAGGCATTTTGAAACCCTCTCTTTTCCCTCAGAGATTATGAAAATAAACTCTGGTTCTCTGATTTAATATGCAGCATTTAGGATGGTGGAGTTTATCCCTGAACATCTGAAGATGTCCATCAGTAGTTAGGGATCCTGTAGTTTAGACTTCCACAGCTTTTACAAATAAGTGTATTTTGAAATTTTTCAGCAGTTTTAAGTTATTGAGAGAGAAGACAGTACTGTCTGTGAGTAGAAAAAGTGCTCCTGTTTTTTTTTTTTTTTCATTTTAAACATATCAAAGTTTAAATTCTTTAACTTATGAAAACGTGATATGAGTAGCATTTTTGATGTTTTACACACTGTGCATGTAAACCAAGAATGAGAGTGGTCTCTCTAGTGACCTGAGGTTGGTTTTCAAACCCACCCCTGGAGGAAAGACTCAAAGCACTACATACATGGCAGGGTCGTTTCAGACACGGATCGGCCAGAAACCCTACTGCTGGGCCTCCTAGATTGTAGAGGGATCAGGACCACCACATTTGCTCTTTCCTCCTGGGATTTCCTCAAGGGTCGGCTGTGAACTGATTGTGCTTATTACAAATTGGCTAAGTAGGATGTGCGAGTGCAGAAGATAATGAGCATAAGAGTTATCTGCCCGTTTTAAGAACAGAGAAAGAAGGCACGTTTACTTCCAGCAGTTATCCTACAAGGTCCATTCTCAGATGGAAACCCCCGTGGAGCAAACACGAATACCTATTATGTGCTCTAGGTACTCTGATGAGTGCTGGGCAATAGAGTTGAATAAAACTGAGACCTGCCCTCAAGGAAAACGAATTAGACTAATACATACAGTGCGATATGTGTATAATAAATGTCATTATCTAAAGAAGCATTTTTAGCCAGATGTCATCAAACAAGTTTCACACAGCCTATCAACTGAAGAACTTTGAACATTTGAATTATTGCTTCCTATGGTTATAACTTGAGATGAAAACATAATACAATACAGGAAATGTATTTTTACAGATGAATCCTTCAGTCTACATTAATTGGATGCTGTTTATTTACAAATGTTTTCAATAAATTACTCAAATCATATTTTTTAAAAAGAATTATGTCAGTCCGATTGGAAATAACGGAAGAAAATTAAATTGACTTTGAAATCTAGCAAAATTATATTTTCCATTCACTTTTCTTACTAATTAATTAGATGATTTTTAAAGCATTTTTTAACCACATGATAAGTGTCAAGTACAGAAAGTCCTCATGGATTTGACAAAATAATTTGAAAATTAGGTTGAGTTGTATCTTTTTTCCATATAAAAAAATGTTTTTTTAAACCAAAAAAAGTACAAAGTTGCAAGGCAAATGCTTACCTATTTAAAAGAAACTATTTCCAAATGCTATGTAATAATTTACATTAAAGTATGTATTGTAAGTAGCAGTGAGCATTGATTTTATTAATTTAGTTACTGTTCATTTTATCCAACTCAGTGGAGATTTACTATCATTGTTTATTCAATATGTATATATTAAAATACCTCTGACTTAATATGACTATCATTACTATATTATCAGTCTATACTTATATCACTGTTTCTATGTTCTCTTTTTTAAAAATGTATATAACCTATATTAATAAACATAAAAGTTTGCATGGTATCTGTTTGGAATAAATTTTTATTGTATCTTTCAGGGCCCTGACAGGAAGACCAGTCTAAAGGTTTAGCTGAGGAGCATTTAATGAAGAAGTGATTTGCAGAGGTGTGGACAGGGTTAAGGTAGCCAGCAGGGACTAGCAATTAAGGAAAGCTGTTAACCACTGAGGCCCAAAGGGGTGGAGGAGAGAATACACTGACCCCCATTCTCTGATTTTTTGCTAGTGCCTCACATTGTACCTGATCTTAACCCAAACCCAGAGGTCAAGAGAACCTGAGTGATGTAGTCCATAAAGGGCTGCTTCTTGCAGCATAGAGAATGGATCTGGTGGTGGGGAGCGAGCACGATTTCTACCAGAGGCATTGGGTAATTAGCTTTCTGGGTCTTTTTTTTTTTTTTTTCTTAATCCCTTCTTAGGAAAATTCAAAGTTATATCATTGAGAATATGTTCAGACTCTTGGGTTTTAGGAATAGATGATAGAGTCTGCAGTTCTTTCCTAGTAAAGAGAGAAGCTAATGTCAGAGGCAGGATGACATGTTGGAACCCCAAAAAAGGGCTTCCCTTGAGTGAGATCCTTTGCCATCTACCATGCTTTGGGGTAGGTAGAAGGGAGGAAGGGAAATTAAAAGCAAAATTACAAGTACCTCTGAGAGATGAAAATCAATAAAAACTTCTGATGTTGTATTTCTAGATTCATACTCAACAGGAAAATTATTTCAACTAAACAGGAGTTCTGTTAACACAGAGAATTTTTAAATTAACACATAAGTTTAGGTTTCTGAGGCCTGGACTCTCCACAAGTGTTTCAGGAATAGATGTATTGGATAAAGTCAGTCCAGCTCATGGCCACCAGATATAGGATCCCCACTTTAACCAGAAAGTGACCTTTAAACTCTTCTATTGTTGTTTTCCAAAATACATTTGAATCCAAAAAACACACTGGATCTTCTTGACACAAAATGTTTGTTTTTTTCCACCAAGTCAAAAATAGGATTTTTATGGAAAAGGAAATAGTTGGCTGTTGAATATAGATGTGGAAAATTTTAGGTTATATTTCTGAATTTAAGAAAGAGAAGTTTTGAGTTCCGAGAGCAAGTGGAAAAAGTTAAGCAGTGTTTCATGAGCAAGCTTTTTAAGGTTTTCTGGAGCCTGGACCCTCCACTAGTAGCTTATTTTTACCTAGGTATCATAGTAAAAATTAAAGGTGAAAGCAGGCACCAACAGTAATTTCCCGGCAGAATTTGCATAGCTATGCAGCTATTCCTTGACCATGGATAAGCCTATTTGTGTTTTATGAAGGAGGTGCAGTTAAGTAAGCTGCAGTCTGAGCAGAGAGGAGAAATGCTCCAATGCAGTGATTCTCAGAGTCCTTAAAACCCTTTCAGATGTACACGGTCAAAACATTTTAAAACATAAGACATTATTTGCCTTTATTTGGTCTGATTCTCTCATGAGTATACTGTTGAGTTTTCCAGAGGCTACGTGACATATGATAGTGCAACAGATTGAATGATGAAGAAGATATGAAAATCTGACTTCTATTAAGCCTGCCATTATTTTTAAGTGAAAAATATTTTCAAAAGTTCTTTATTTTAATATTTAATATGATAACTCTTGGTAGATATAATCAAAGGTTTGGTGCTAAACCGGATATCTAGAAAAAGAAAAAGGCCTTGATTTGTAGCATTTGTGTTTCCATGGCGTAAATACTTCCTCTGTTGCCAATTTGAAGCTTCTAATTGGCTTTACAGTTGACTTGAAAAATTCTTTTAATACTGAATCTCATGAGCTGGTACAGCTGACTCCAGGTGGACATAACCTACTTTTGGGGGGTCCTAAATAATTTTTAAGTGTATTAAGGTGTCCTGATCCAAAAATGTTTGAAAACCCTGAACCTATGGAAGATTTTCCATCTTCATTGCATTCAAGAAGACATAGATACTGGTCATAATTATAAAGCACAAAGGGGCAAACAGTTGGCTTACAGCTTTAGGCTACCACATTAGGTTTCTGGCAGCCCCATAGCTAAGGAGGTCAGTATCTTAGAGCAATAGAACTGATTCAAGGCAGACGGTTCAGTGTGGCTTGGAAAGCTTTGTGTGAGGCCTCCTTTCCATCCAGCTGCTGTGACCCATGCATGGTGCCATCACTATAAAGTGAACATCAAGCTCCATGCTTCTTGTCTTGGGGTCTGTTGACTGAAGGCTGCCAGAAAACTGAAAACTGAAAACCAGAGGTCAGATTCAGCAGCATCTTGAAATTCAGATAGCATGGTATGTTTCTACCCAGCTGGCTGTGTGTTTATCACTTCAGGAAATGACTCATAAGCCCCAAGGAGATTAGCTTTGAAAGCTGCATTTATAGTGGCCTGAAAATATTGGGTGGTGGCAAAGCCAGTCTGGCTCTTTGCCTTCTTAATAACCACAGAAGTGGGCCATTTTAGTGTGCTGTGCTGTGACTCCGTCCAGGGGAATAAGAACAGGACCAAGCGTGCGATTGCAGCCCTGAGATGCATTGAAGGACAAGACCGCAGTTGTTTTGTATGTCTTTTTGTTGTGTTGTTTCTTGTCCTGAGATACCTAGTTGCTCTTGAAACTGGCCAACACGATGTCAAAAAAATTTTTTTTAATGTATACCTGTCCTCTAGGAGCTAACTAGTTTTTGGATTTAATTATAATACATGATACGTTAAGTATAGAATATGAAGACCTCAGATTTTAGAATTTTATCAATCCTGTCTTGTTAGAAGGAAGTTTTAGAAAATTTAAGTCAGTTTTCATTTCTGGCTATACATTGAATCACTAGAAAGCTTATAAAAAAAAATTCCAGTGCCCATTCCCCGCTTGACCAACAGGAATCTGAATCTTTAGAGGCGGGGCTTGGACATAATTGTTTTCAAGCTCCTCAGGAGATTCTAATGTGCAAGCCTGAGTTGATACCACTGCTTTAAGGGACTGCTTCTCAAATTTAACATGCATTCAAATTATCTGGGGGTCTCATTCAACTGCAGACCATGATGTAGTAGATCCAGGGGTAGGTCTGCATGTCTAACAAAAATTCCCAGACGATGTTGACATTGTGGTTCCTTGGACAGCTCTTTGAGTAGCAGGGCCCTAAGATATGGCCCTGAAGCAAAATTTAGCCATGTTGGAGGTTCAAGCACTCAGAAAATTCAATTCCTATAGCCTTCAAATTTCCTGGGGGCAATTTTTAAAATTGTGGTAAAATTGGGACAGTTTTAGTTTAGCAGTAGTATAGATAGATACTCAATCAAAATTTGTTTTAGGTGATATTTGTCTTGCTGTATATTTTCTCCCCTCTTGGATTCTTTTCTAGGGGGAAAGATAGCTTAAAAGGTTCTAATCTCATATATAAAGCCATTTCAAAAGAGGCTGGGGGTTTAGAGTGGCGACCCAACTTCTGTTTATAAAGATAGTGCCTGGCAGATAGCAGCAGTGCCTGGTTGTCAGAAAGCAAATGTTGATATGTTTCTTGTCTCTGGGTTTAGTTGAAAAATGGTGACCTCAGCGACATGCTGGGAGTGGAAGTCAGCATCAAGAGCTTCAGTCTTGCTGGTGCTGGAATGAGTAGCTTTGGAAACCCTCAAGAAAATGAATCACCCCAGCGGTCATCCTTAGGGGTGCATGACTCCACTGTGCCAAGGGAAAAGCAAAGATTCAGAAAATCGACTCTGGGAACACGTATTAGCAGCACATACAATAAACCTGAGGTAAATTCTTCATTACAGAACCCTCTTCCAAGTAGATGAAAAAACTACTAAATGGTGAAAGAGAAACTAAAATATAGAGAAAAAAAAATGTTACATCTCAGCAATAATCAAATAGCTGCAATTTCAAACAAGAGAGCACTGGCTCCTATCTAATTAGCAGTGCTTTTTTTCTATGATGGTTATAAACTGCTCTCTAAGGAAGGAAAGAAAGAAGAAAAATATACATACCAGCAAGAGGAAGAAAATGCTGGTAGACATGCTTTAGGAAAGCAATTTGACAAATGCCATCACCCTGAAGATGTTCATTACTTTGGACCCTGTTGTATGACTCCTGGGAATCTATCCTCAAGAAATAATTATATATAACAACAACAAAAAAAGTAATAGACTTCTAGTTTTTAATAGCATTCTTATTTGTATATTAACAAAAGACTGAAAACTCCCTAGATGTTCAACCCTAGAGGGCTGCTTCTCCAAAAAGACTATTATGCCCATTTAAAATGATATGTATCAAGTATGTATAATGGCACTGAGAAGTATTTACAATATTGAATTTTTAAAGATGCAATGATGTTTATGTGGTATGAAAGCAACAATATAGGAGGAAAAAAAATAGATCCATGTGGTATCTATTAGCAAAGACTAATGGGAAATATACCAAAACATTCAAACTGTTTGCAGAGTAGGGCTACTTATTTCCTTTTAAATATTTCCTCTCTCTTTCCTGCGGATGTATATCTTCTCTGCCGAAAAAGCAATCCACATTAAAACAGAACAAAAATCATCAAACAAGAAGAAAAACAAAAAGAAAACCTGTTACCACATTTTTTATTCTCTTCCCAAGGTGCAAAGGTGCACAATGTTAGCTGTACTATAATTTTTGAACAGACACTCTTAATTAAGCATTTCCTGGCCACAATTAGTATTTCATGCTTCAATAAGTTATTAAAGCAGGGGATAAAAGCATTAGAAAATTCTGATTCTACGCCTACATTTGACATCTTCAACATTCTTCCCAAATTATCTTGTGGAAACTTGGAGTTTTCCAAAACTTGAAAATTTTAAAATGTCTTTCGCCAGACTCTGAAGCCAGAAATGTCTCTGCTTGTCCCTGACCACTACCAGAACATTCCGCACAGCATTTTGTCAACTTACATCATCAGAGCTGGACGTTTTCCTCTGGTAGACTTTATACTTACACCAAAAGGGCTGCTCATTTATTTTCTCCTGGAATTATCTTTCCTCAGGCAGCCAAAATTAATTTGCTCGAAA